TTCTTTCTTTTTCTGGTCATTTTTCTTCACATGTTTTAGGAAGCTATCTCTGCTCTTAGAATGCTTAATATGCTCAATATGCACATTAATTCTCTTGGCAAGAATCTTGCCCTTAACTTGTTTGTGCACAACAATGCCAACAGCATGCTGGGTAACATTGTATACTCTTCCAGTTTTGCCATGGTCATATTTGTGAGGCATTCCTTTTTGAACAGTACCATTCCCTTAATGTCTATAATATCACCTTTCTTGTAGATTCACATGTATGTTGCCAAAGGGATAACTCCATGTTTTCTAGAAGGCCTTGAGAACTTATATCAGGTGCTTCTCCTCTTTCCCTTTGTGTTCATTATTTTGGTTAATTACTGGAAGATGGCAGTTCTGGCCAAAAGGCCCTCATAATAGTTTTTCATGATCTTTTGTGTTAAGTCATCAGAAAAGTCATGACATATTTTTTCATGTTTTTGTATGCAAACATGTGTCACAACTTTTCCAACAACCGATTATTTCTGTTATGCTTGTTTTAATATTGCCCATTTTACTGTTAATTTGATTTACCTGGTTCTTTTTTCTGTTCTTCTTGATTAATCTAGTTAACTGTATGTCAATATTTTTTATCTTCTTGATGAACCTATGTTGGTTTCATTTACTTTCTGCATTGTTTTTTTCCTGTGTTATTTATTTCTGCTTGAATCTTTATTGTTTCTTTTCTCTTGTCATTTTTTTGGGGGGCTTACTTGTTGTGGTTTTTCCAGTTCTCTGAGATGTGTCATTAGTTGTCTATTTGCCCCTTTTGATTTTTTTCTTGTGAGCACTAATTACTATGAAATTACTTCTTATGACTGCTTTCACAGTGTCCCTTAGGGTATGAAAACTCTTGTGTTCATTATCATGAGTCTGAATACATTTCTTTTTCAGTCTTAATTTCTTCAGTGGATGTGACATCATTAAATAGCAGGTTATTTAGTTTTTATGTTTGTGTATTTTCAAGGATTTTTCTCTGAAGTTAATCTCAAGTTTGTTTTCATTGTGGTCATAGACATTGCTGGATATAGTTTCTGTACCTTTTCATTGTTTTGTGTCCTATCATGTGGTCCAGCTTCAAAAATGTTCCATATGGGGGTCTGAAAATTGTGTATTTTGTGGTTATTGGGCTATAGATGTCTGTCAAACCCATACAATTTATGGTATTGTTTAGATCTTGTATCTCTTTGCTTATTTTTTGTCTAGATGATCTGTTCAAAGGAGACAGTGGGATGTTGAGATCCCCATTGATTAGCATCTTGCTGTCCATCTCTCCCTTTAGATCTAGCAGGCTTTCTTTCATGTATTTGAGCACTCCAGTGTTGAGTGCATAGATACTTATAAGTACTATATTTTCTTGATGAATAATACTTTTAATACTACACAGTGCCTTTTTAAAAAAAGAATTATTTATTTAATTTGGTTTATTATTATTATTATTATTTTTAATTTGATACAGGGCATCTGTGCTCACTAGAGAGTGTGAAAGAGAGAGAGAGAAGTGAGAAAGCAAGCCACCAGGTCTGGGACTCAAACCATGATCAGCCTTGTAGATATCTAGTACCTTAACCGCCATGCCTAGTTTCTTTCTTTAACTGTTCTTATGGTTTTTGTCATAAAGTCTATTATGTCTGATATCAGTATCATGACTCTAGCCCTTTTTAAATTTCCATTTGATGTAACATCTTTTTCCAGCCCTCTACTTTTAGTCTATGTGTATCTTTATCCATGATGTGTGTTTATGTTTATTGTAAGCAGCATATAGAGGACTTTTTTTTTTTTCCTTAAATCACTTCAGCCAATCTGTGTCTTTTAATTAGAGCATTTAATCCACTAACATTCTACACAGTTATTGATATTTAGTGACTTATCACTGCCATTTTGTTAGCCATCTTCCAGTTTCCTTTTGTTCTCTTATTTATGTCTTTTTAGTTTTCCTGATATAGTACACCCTTTAATACTTTGTGAACATCTGGTCTAATGTTGATAATTTATTTTTCAGGATTTTTTTTTTTGTTGTTGTTAATCTGGGAATGATATTTTTGTGTTCTTCTAATTTGAAGGATAATCTCACAGGGCTTAGTATTGGTTGAAATGGTCTTTCTTTCAGTGTTTTGACTATGTCTTCCTGCTCTTTTCTTGTTTGTATTGTTTCAGTTGAGAGGTCTGATGTTAGCCTAGTAGGATAACAATTTGTAAATAACTATACATTTTCTCTCTTGCCATTTTTAGAACATTGTTTTCAATTTTGATCATTCTGGCTGTGATGTACCATTGTGAGAATCTTCTTAGGTTTATTCCATTTGGGGTCCTTTGTATTTGTTGGGTCTGATGTCTGAATGTTTCTCTAGGTTTGGAAAGCTTTCTTCACGTATTTCATGAAATAGGTTTTTGATGCTATAGTCATATTCTTCACTTTCTTGAATAACAATTATTCAGATACTTGTGTGTTTAATGGTGTCTAGTATTTCTGGTATGTCATCATTTTGAGGGGTTATTTGTGAGAAACTCAGGGCTCGAAGGTAGGCTGTCATGAAGAATTGAGGCAAGAGATGAGGAAAAGTTAAAAGAAGGGGCTAAAGCTTTCTTGGAGCAGAAGGAAAACTATGCCAAAGCAGAACCCATTTATTCTAAGTTAAATAAGTAGTGAGTTTAGCTATAGAGAACAGTATACAATATACATGACATTCTTTGTAGGCTGTATTCCTGGTACAAGATAGATAGCTATTATTAACTTAGTAGTTAGACAGTATTTAGGCTGTGGAATGTCACCAAATAATCTTGAGACTCAGCTCATGCCAGGAGCTATCTGTTTGGCCATGGAGCCCCTTTGGCTTTCTGTCTAGGAATGGGGTTGCATTCCACTCCCTTGTGCATTCTCTCCTTCTAGCTTAATTCTCAGGCATGGGCTGGTTTTTGTCCCCAATAGTTATTTTTTCATTCTTTTTGGTGGTTTTGTTTAAGTCAATGGCTTTGTCTTCCAGATCAGAAGTTCTATCTTCTGCATGATCTAATCTGCTATTAATACTTTCAAGAGAGGTTTTTTATTTTTTGTGTTACAGTCTTTATATCTAGGAGTTCTGTTTAATTCTTTTGTATGGTGTTTGTCGCTTTATGGAATTCTTTTTCAGGTCTTGGAATGATTTCTTCATCTGGAGATAGTTGTCTGTTTTCTCTTTCATCTCATTCAATTTTGTCACTTTGAACATTCTATATTCTTTTTCTGATATTTCTGTGAGTTCTTTTGTACTCTTTTATTGAGGAGGACTTTTTCTGTTCCCTTGAGGGAGAGATACTTTATTTTTTCTTCATATTGATTCTGTAGTGTTAGTGGGGAAGATGAACTCTTTTTCTCAGGTGTGTTTTTAGGAGATGGCCTTTTCTATCAATCCAAGAAAGGTAAATGTAGCCAGCTTTAGATGTTGGTTTCTATCCCAGTCTCTCAGAATTAGTTGCATTTGTAAAAGGCAATAGCAAGAAATCTGAGATGCTTTGTACTTCTCTCTCTGACTCTCTCTCTCTCTCCAGCTGGTTCCTGAACTGTGGGGGCTTAAGGCAGAGGGGAGCAAGGAGTAGGAGTCCAAAGAACACCTGTGCAGGCAAAACCAACTACAAGAAGCCTGGGATGAACATTTCTTTGGAGCTCACTATCTTGCTGCTGCTGGTTTCTGCAGGATGGTGGCTTATGGAGAAGGAATGCAGGAGCGAGGGTCCAAAGCACATGAGCATGTGCCACAGGCAGCAGCAAAAAGTCTGAGATACTCAGTCTTGGTCTTTTTCTCTCTCTCACACATACACACTGGCTTCTGCACTATGGGAACTAAAGGCAAAGGGGAGCAGGGCCATGGGGGTCCAAAAACACCTCTGTAGCCAAAAGTCAACAGCAAGAACTATGGCACGTGCACTTCTGAGCTCACTCTTGCTTCTGCTGCCTCCTGCAGTATGAGACATACTGCGGAGGGATGCAGGCAGAGGGGCGAAGTTCAGAGCACACCTCTGCCATCAAAGTCAGCAGCAAGATGTGCTCCTGTTTACTCTCTCTCTCCTTACTGCTGGTTCCTGCCCAGGGGTTGGCTTATGGTGGAAGGGCTCCAGTGCTGGGGGTGGTGGGAGGTAAAGTCCCAAAGCACACATGCGCCAGCAAAAGGCAGCAGCAAGAAGTTTGAGACATGTGATACTTCTGTTCACTCTTGTGTACTGTTTTGCTGCCAGTGGCTCCTGCACCATGGGGGCTTTTGGCAGGAGGATTTGTGGATAGGAGGGTCCAAAGCATACCTGTGGCCACACACACATATGTGCTTGGCATATGCTTTAACGGGACTGGAACCATGGTTGACTACATGGGAGTCCAGTAATGTAACCATTATGTCATCTGCTGGTCCCCAGTGTTTTTGTTTGTTTGATTTGTTTTTTGGGATTTTTTTTTTTAGAATTTTTAGTATAAAGTACATGTGCTCACCAGAAAGACAAAGACAGAGAGACGGAAAGTGTGAAATCACCCCCTAGGGCAAATTGCCATGCGACAATGCCTTCATTCTCTTTTGATTTTGGATATGCACAAACAGGTTCCCATCGTGAGTTTAAGCCACTGGGTTTGAGACTTGAACCTCGGTCAACAACACGAGAGTTCAGCAAACTAACCATTTCATCATCTGCTGGTTGCCGTAGTAACACTTTTACTGCTATTTTAACATTTTACTAAGTCTTTCATTTCTATCAGTGAATAAATTTGTGATTGCTCATTCAGTAAGGTCTTTTTAGCCCCTTTTCATGTGTAAGTGACTGTTCTCCCACAGGGGAATCTTGGAATAAGCAGCATCATTTCTCTGACCTACTTCCTTCACCTTCTCTTCCAGCTATAATTTTAGAAACCTCTGTATTTGTCCAGGATTAAGAAAATGAATTCATTTTTGGTAAGTTGTTTACTGATTTCCCCAAGTGTTTTCCATTGTGTTTAGGAATTTTGTGAGGGTTTGTAAATTAAAATGGAAGAGTAAAATTAAATAAAATTCAGCATGAGAAATGCATACAAAAGCAAGATAAAATTGACAGGGTGAAATAGGCAGGTTATAAGGCCTTTAGAGCCCTGTGAGATGAGTATAAATTGGTCTCTAGCTTTCTTATACCATGGGAAAAACACATTTATTACATGGTTTGAATTGACTCTAAGGGGCAAGCATGCTAAATTCTCAAGGGATATGAATCATGCGATAGTCATTATTGGTCACATAGATGACATGGTAGACAGTGTTTTATACCTAACCTGGAAATGCACACTCAGTGTTCTGCAGTGATCACTGTTACTGATTGCTAAAACACAAACCAGTCAGTAGCTTTTTCTCTCAGCTAGTGTGTATGTGCTGATTATGCCACAAACTGTCCAAAGTTATATTTCCTGACCAATATAGTAATGCACTGCATAGCAGCATTTCAGTGATGCGTTGTATGTATTAATGTGGCCCAAGAAGATTATAATGAAGCCCCCAAATCTCTGTAACCTAGCGTGGTTAAAGCTGTTATAACCTTGTAAAGTAACACATTACCCACATGTTTGTGGTAATGCTGGTGAAAATAAACCTACTGTGCTACCAGTTGCATGTAAGTATATACATACAATTATAATCAGTAAATATGTATACTTATAAAGATAAATATAAGTAAATAATTATACATATATTTCCATTTTGGAATCATTCCTAGTTTACAAGTAATCATTGTACACCTTTGTGAAATACAGTCTTTTTAAAATAATTTTTTTTATTTATCTATTTATTTGTTGTCACTTTTGAGCCACCTGGTTCGGGGTGAACCACAATCAGCGATGTTGGAATCCAGAACTTAGCCACCACTGCTGTATTATGGTTTTTTATATCACAGTATCATTGTCTCTCTATTCTCTTTTTTGTTTTCTTTGCTGTTCAGAAACATCTTATGTAATCAAGTTTCTCTATTTTTGATGTTTTTTTTCCATGTATCATGGGTCTTATTTTAGTAGTCTTTACCCACTCGAACATGTTGTTCTTGTATATTTTCCTTAACAGGTTTCTAGATTTGTGCATTATATTGAAGTCTTTAATTCACTTTGAGGTAATTGTAACTGGTGAGAGATGATTTAGTTTTACTCGAATGTTGGTGGATATTGAGTTCTCCCAGAACCATTTATTGAAAACTCTTTTTCCACAGGCTTTATCTGTGGCCTTTGTCAAAAATCAGTTGGCTGTACGTTAAGTTTTTTTCTGTTTATTCTATTCATTTGGCCTGTCATATGTCTGTGTTTGTGCCAATACCATGTTGTTTTAGTGATTAAGGATTTACAATACATTTAGGAGTCAGGTAGTAAGGTACCTCCAACTTTATTCCTTTTGTACAGAATTGGTCTGATTATGTAGGTCTTTTGTGATTATTCATAAATTTTATAATTATTTCTGTGTAGAATATTGCTGGGGTTTTTTGGTAAGAATTGGAACGAATTTGTAGATAACTGGTGTAGTATTGGCTTAACACCTATATTGATTCTTCAAATTCATGAAAAAAGCTGTCTTCCTGGTTTTGTATATTTTTCAAGTAACTTGTTCAGCTTTATTTATTTATTTATTTATTTTGGTAGAGGTTTTTTCCTATAGGGTGCATGTGCTCACCAGAAAGACAGAGACAGAGAGACAAAAAGCAAGAAATCACCCCCTGGGGGGATGGCCACGCCACAATCCCTTCTCCTCCATTCTCCTCTCAGGATCTTGGGTATGCACGCACATGTGTCCAGCATGTGTTTAAGCCACTGGGTCAGGGACTCAAACCTCAGTCGACTACATGGGAGTCCAGCGACATTGACATTACAATAACTGCTGATCCCACTTGTTCAGCTTTTATAATTATTTTTATAGAGGTCTTTCACTTTCTGGGTGAGATTTTTTCCAAATAGTTTTTGTGGTTATTGTGAATGGGATTGCCTTCTTTATTTTTTTTTCTCAGTTTATGCATGATTACTGTAGAAAAATGCTACAGATATTTTTAATTACCCAAGGACTTGCGTGATTGTTAGGGAGAGTGATAGAGAGATGGAGATTCAAGAAGAGAGAAAGTGCCTCAAAATGAAACATATAATGGCCATTATGAGCTATAAACCTACCTGGGATCTATCCTCTGGACTAAACTGTCATAGCCAGGATGCTCAGGGGATGCTGCACTCTCTTTCCTCCAATTCTCCTTTCCATCAGGATTTTGTACACATGCACACATACACACACTCAATGTGTTCCCCAAACCCACAGGGCCCTAGACTCAAACCACAGGTGATTATGTGGGATCTGGCTCCCTACACATAGTATTTAAGCCCTGTGCTATGGAGATAGCCTACTGCAGGTTTTTGTATGCTGGGTTTGTATCTTGCAACTTTACTGCATTTGTTTATTTCATCTAAGAGTTATCTGGTGGATTCTTCAGGTTTTCCCACATATTGGGTTGTTTAAAAAAAAGTGGAAAAATGCATCATGACTTTTCTGATGAACCATTCAAGTCCACCACAAATAGGGACAATTTAATTTTTTCTTTTTTAATTTATATGCCATTATTTTGTTCTTTCATCTGACTGTATTAGCTAGTACTTACAATATCTATTTTGAATGGGAGAGAAAAAAGTGGATGTCTCTGTCTTGTTCTAGTTTGAAGTTGAAAATGTTTCCAGTTTTTCCTGTTCAATATTATGTTAGCTGTAGGAATGTCACATATGGCCTTTATTTGGTTGTGAAATGTGTTTTCTATGCCTATTTTATTGATTCTTAATCATAAAGGACTATTATATTTTATCAAATGTTTTTATGTGTCAATATGATCATAGAATTTTTGTCATTTCTTCTCTTAATGTGATTTATTACATTTTTAAAATATATATTGAATTATCCTTGTATTCCAGGAATAAATCCTACCTAGTCATAATGTATAATATTTTTAAAATGTTGTTGGATTGGTTTCAGTCATGACATATGGCCCTATATTAAGCTTTCATA